TAATAATAATAATAATAATAATAATAATAATAATAATAATAAGTTAAAGATAATTTTGAAATGTAAGATTAATGTGAGGATTAAACAATGATAAGAATAAATGTCAAGGTTAGAGGATTCACTAATAAATTTCAAATAAGTATAATATCAACTTTTTTTTATTACTCAACTGGAACCACACATGAAGAAGGTTTCAATCAGATGATTTGTCATTAATAACTCATTATAAATTATTAACATGATTATATTAGTTATGTTATTTTTATTAACACCAATACTTTTAAATATTGTCAAGAATTTATGATGTTAACTTCTATTAACAACAAATCAAGTTTCTTTTATTGCACATGTGTCAGTTATACCATATAGTTGGTTATGAAGGATTAAGCATTTATTATACCAAGTGTTATACTATATAAATCTAGATTAACCATTTAAAAATTAAGATATTGAGAATTAATAAGATAAAAATGATACGACATGTTAATAAAAACTTTCTTGGATGTAAGCATTGAAATCCATATTGAATTTAGATTATACATATCCTAACACCATTAATGAAACCTTTTCACATTGACGTATTAAACTTATCTAAATATTATAAAGAAGAGAAACATAAATAAACAAGATGAGAATATAATTATATAAGTATAGTAAAGTAAATAAAAGACAAACAAGATATTAATGAAACTATAACATGAAATAAAATTAGAATATTAAAACTAAAAAGAAAGAAAGCAAGTAAGGAAATGATCTTGATCTGAAAACCAAGATATCTAAATGTATGGTAAATGCCTTATTTTATAGGCTAAAATTTGAAGCTATTGATTAAGTAGGTGGCCACCTCTTGACTTAGTGACAATACTTATCTTATTGTCTGAACAAAACATCATTGCTACATCAGAATTCGAATAGATAGTCCTCATAAAAGTTTTAGGCATTCATCTCAGCTTTCCAACAACAAAAGAATAAGCTCATTTGGACTTTTAGAACTCGAGATATGAGCTGAATACTAAATAGTGTCTGGGCTTCAAGATAGCTTTCGACTTTTTATCTGTTGCTATAATTTGAACTTGAAAACAATCGTTTTGAATATTGGACTCTCATGAAAGTTTTAGGTCTATGTCTTTACTTTTCATTCATATAAATCAAATCTAAATCCAAGTTCTATAGCTCCAGTTATGATCAAATAACTGAATAGTATTCTAGTTTGAATTGAACCAGTATCTCTTATCTAAGCTTAACTTTTTCTTTATCTTCTGAATTTCAATAGTTATGTAAATCAATCAATCAATCAATCCTTTGAATTGTGAAGCATGCCTGCATTTGAAATGAGTATTTACCATAAATTAAAGATATCTTATATTATCAGACTTTTATTATAAAACATGCTTAAGTTAGGGAATTTAATGATACTTTAAATGCAATATGATGATGTAAAACCTTGATAAAAATACACTTTCTAGTATTAATCAACGTCCAAGAATCATAGCCTATAAGATAAAAATATTGTCAGTTAAATATATTTATAAAAAAACTAATAAAAAACTGGATGTAGTAAATAAAAATCCTACAATCCACTTCACATGTAAAACAAACATAACAGAATGACCGGTGTTTGTGGTAAAGAAGCCATGAACATGCTGGTTTTGATTTTCTACACCGGACTATGATTGTCATATGAAAAGTGCAGACATCACATAATGAATGTATTACACCCATACAACCTCTAAAATGCACAACATTCTAAAATCCTTTTAAAATGCCGTGTCATTTCAGCTTGGAAGCTCCTTTTTTTCGTATATATTTCGTCTTTCTTTTATGTCTCTTATAAAAAATCACATAACCTATATGATATAAATTAATTATCTGTTAGAAAATAAAAAATAAAATTTTAACATTTGGAATAAAATTTTTTTATCCTGAATTTGATCTTAACTAATTGTAACGTGATTCTCCCAAACCCTTATAATAACGTTATTATTAGCTCTTTCCCATTCAAATTTTCCTTTGAAAAAAAAATTTATAAAAAAAATCTCAATAAATTTAATAAACTAACCAAATTAATATAAAAATATATAAGTTAATACTAACCTTTGAACCTTGAAAACCATGCATCAATCTGTAGTTTCCATTTGGGATGTTTGGAAACCTGGTTTTATTGAAACAATAAAATTTTTATCAATGACATAAAAGATGATATTATTGTTCTTGCAGCCTCAATATTTATAAACTTGAAATTATATTTGTTAAATGAAATTATTTTTTTTAAAATTATTAAACATTTTGTTGTGAAAGCATCATCAATAACTCTATCGGTAAAAATGCCACATCACCGTATAATTTGTATTTTTTGAATCCTACTATAATACCCTCTATAATTTTCTTAGTATATATCGATGAAATTTTGTTATCAGCATATTTACGGATGTACTTTACAATTATATTATTTCTATTGGTAATGCCATCTATAAAAGTTATACATCATCGTCTTATTTGACTTTTTTTAATTTTTAATTTTTCTATTGAAATTTTCTTGGTATATACTGATGGATGCAGGTATGAAAAATTCTATTGTTTAAGGTTATTGCAATATACTGAAAAAAAAAAATTCATTGATGTTTTTGTTTATGTGTGTTAATTTTACAGTAGTGATCAACAAGTTGTGATTTGTATCCTTTGAGATCCTCTTCGTCAAGTATTGGAGGCATGAAAGAGGCTTCAACCTCAATGCCGATCCTGTCACATGTCATGGAAGCATCTCCTGGTTAACTGTGTCGAGTGGAGTAAGATGGAAATGCAAATCACCAAAAACTTCCATATCTCTAAAGTCTAACCAATAGTAGTTGAAACAAAAACAGAGACTGGGGAGATTGAGATGATCTAGTGACAGACAAGGATAGAACCGTGAGACTTGTAACATGAGAGGAACACTTAGTTATACAAGATCTAAAACCTAGGTAGCTTCGGAATCCTGAACCAACTAATAATCTTTTTGACAGCATATGTTGCAGATTTCAATGAGATTGACTTAAATTATTGTTATTTGTTACTATCTGTTTAATTGCCGACTTTATTTCCCATTATTTATAAGAAAAAATCACCTTCCTTCCACTAAAAAACTCGTTTGTAGCGAGAATAAGGAAGAGAAGATTTAACAGAAAAGAATGTTCCAATAAACAAATGCTTTATATCGTTTAATACGGCTCAAACAGTAGTATCCATGACAAATCCTTGCTCAATCTCAAGGGACTCCATGATTACCAGAAATAGTGAGAACTAAGATGATAATGAAAGTTGCAAAACATTCTGACGAGAGGGTTCCAAGGTTGACAGGATAGATGACCAGATGTTTGATGGCAACCTGCTCTTAAACTCCCTCAACTGTTTAATCACTCGGTAGACGGTTTCCTCTGTTGCTAAAGTTTCATCATCAGCCCATAGTATCTGCAAGGAAAGCATTAACAGCAGAAATTACCATTTCCTTTTCTGAACTTGCAGAAACTTGACGACGATTGAAAACCATATTGTATGTATTTTGATGAGTATGTAAGGACTCTTTTGGTACCTAGTCTGGTAGAATTGTATTTTAATACATGCTCCCTTTTCTAAGCAAGGTGTTTTACTAGATTTGGGCTGATCCTTCATGGCCTTTATTAAAGCCCATTTTTTTTAAGGCTGGGATTATGGTCACATATATTATATATGACTGGATCTCATAGGAAACTACTTCCAGAAAGTGAAAATTGTATTATGAGTATTACCCACAACAGGTCAGAGAGAGAAATTACCTCTGCAAAAACGGCGATGATTTTGGGAAGATAAGCAAAATCTTGGCGAAGAAGTTCGTCCTCTGATCTGAGAGAATAAAAAATGCATCAAACAGCTGATTCTGACAATTATAGTTACACCAGTTTCATATGGTAAAATAAATATCTTATGGCTTACATCTCAACTATTGAACACAGCAGATCATGTGCAATTTTGACTTCCAGTAGATTGTTCTTTATTGGCAAATGGCTTAGCCATGTACTAAACACCTGCTAAGTAGATTAGAAATAAATGTTGTCAAAGCCAAAAACATTATAGAAATGGAAGTCGATGAAATTAGCACAATCCCATTTGAAAAGGATAGGAGGAAGGAGGATTTTACATGACAAATCACTTAACCTACGGAGAGATCTTGCATACAAGTAGAAAATATCGAATCATAAAATTAGCATTTCTAGCAAAATTCAGCATGGAAAACTCTGCTGGAACTTATCATAAAGTTTACAACTATTTGTATTACTGGTAGCATAAATATAGTATCAAATTGCTTCCACAGACTGAGAGCTGTAGAAAACTCCCTTTGGGACCTGTAGAAAATCTCAACAGCAACTTTTCTGTAAATTACATTGGATAACTTAGAAGATTGAAAATATAAGGCCACGTTCCTTTGTATACATTTCAGATTGAGTCTATGGGTTACAATAAGTTACAGTCGTGATTATATTATAATCCTTACTACCATCTGTGACAGTAAGAGCACACTTACACCTGAATATTGCTTACACCTTTGATAGTATAGCTCTTGGCTAGCTAGATTGCTTGAATTGCAAAATTTAATCACTTTTCTGTACTTCGAGACCAAATTCCAGTCCTAGACACGCCGCCTCCCTGTACCAAAAATATAAGAAGCAAGAGTAGCAACGCACCTCACTTGCATTGATTCTGTCCTTGTGGAATAGGTATATTTGTCCGAGAGCTGTTACAGCAGCATCATGGGCCATTATGTAATCTCGGTGCAATGCCATTGAATCGCTTATGTTAGCATTTAGAGCAGAAACTGCTTCTGCCAAATGAAAAAAATGGGATTTATTGTATAAATACTGCGCGCAGGTAATAACAGGACTACATGAAGAATAAACACGCTACCTCCAACCAGAGGCTTGAAGATAGATCCACCAAAGGCTGCAGCAACTCCAATTCCATGTGCAGCAACCTGCAATAATTCATGTTCTGAATAAGAGATATTCTCTATTTACGAGGTGCACAACATCACTGTCATTGCTAGGCTGGGTCATAAACAGACCTCTTGAACTTCTGGTTCATCATCATTGCAAGCTTTAAATAGCAACAAGAGTTCACTCTCACAGAACCTGCTTTATCAATTTGGTATTATAGTTTTTAAATTTACATTCTCTAACCAAATTAAAAAGGACTAGGCTTACTTCAAAGCTTCTTCTCGGAATTCCTCTACAACATCAGTGAAAATTTTCAAGGCAATTTTCCTTTCTTTAACTGTTTTATCCTTAACCTGCGGCAAAACAATAAATGGAGCAGAGCTCTCTCAATTTTTCAGTTCTCTGTCTCCCTGTTTCTGAACCTCCATGGGCTCATATTCACAATATGTTATTCAAAGAGTAAAAAACTAAGCACTGGTATTTTTCCCATTCTTTATCAGATGTAGCATTCCAACTTACCAGAGAATTAACCTCTACACGCACCTTCTTCAACATATCCAGTTTTCTATTCCCATGCCTCGTACTCGAGCAATATGATTTAAGGAAAACAAATTTCAACACAATACTAAGATTTTTATGCTAGAAATTTCTCACCTAAGAGTGGAATGACATCTAAACCTAGATTACAAGAAAAGGCAAATTTTAAGCATGGTTCAGCCTTTTGTACGGATGCGAATGCTGCTCACTGAGCATGAGACATCAACATACTAATTGGTCACTAACAGGGGAATCACAATAAACTGAGCTTATGTAAGAGAGGGGTAAAAAAAAGGAAGAATTAAAGAATAAAACGTACCCACATATATTCCATAGGTGATAAAAGCTGGTCGAAGAATTGCAACAAGGAACCCTTGTAAGTTTTCATGAAAATCTTCAAGCAAGCACAAACCTTTATGAAGAAACAAATATGTGGTAAGAATTAACACTAACTATAATATCCTTATTTGAATGAAAGCGCCAAGCGGTTGCGGAGTCAATCATCCGGTGAAAAGTGATAAAATCACTTACTTTCTTACTAACTCTTTCTCCTTGCTCCGATGCTTCATCACCTTTGGGAATGGACATGCTAGTGTCGAGAACGTCCATTATTACAGACAAGAAGCGCTTGATCTGGTCTATATTTAAAACAGGTCCCGATAACTGAAGGAGAGAAGTTTGTGCTGATAAGATAAGAGCATCAATTCTTCCCTAGAGACCTAGACTAGTCGGCATGAGGAAAGTAATTCAGTCAAATCTAAGGATTGAGCCATATAAGCTTCCTGGTCATCAGAGTCCGTGCTCAACTGTCAGATAACAATTTATACTCGCCATGGAGATTAAAAGCGGGTATTCGCATAAGGAGCAATTTAAGATTTTTCATGCCGGAGAGATGAGCAAAAGTTGGAACGACCAGTCTCCTCTTCATTCCATGCTGGGAATATTCTATACCAAGTAGATAGCTAAAACTAATTTTAAGTCAGAATATCTAACACCAAGCAACTAATTTTGAGCCATGACTCTTTTGTCCCCCCACTGAGCTGTGGCCCGAGTTAGCAGATGCATGATTATCTATATCTTTTTAGTTGCCGCATAAAATGCAGTTCTTTTCATAGGAAGAGAATGCGTAGTCTTTCTTAACAACATGACTGATATTTATGTTCTTATCAGTGGACCAATTAACACATTAAGGGGAAAAAAATGCTACAGACCTCCAAGCAATCCTCCAAGGAATCCAACATTACTGCACTAATTTTAATGACTTCTTCCTACAAACAAATACTAGTAGTAGTTAAAGATTTCTCATAATCACAAGTTATCTGATTCAATTCAATAATAATAATAATAATTATGAATTACAGTATAACCTTAACCAGTGCTTCAACCAAAGCTGGTATTATATCAGAACACAACTTTTCAAAGGGAGATTTCTGAAGAAGCCTTTTCTCAATTGCTGCTTTCGACGATTTCAGTATTTCAGGCATGGCTATTTACAAAGCAGAAAGGAAATTGTGATTATTGGAGATGTTTGAAATGCATAAAAGTAATTATTGGAGACTACATTAGCTTTTAATTACCTAATACAGCTGCTATTCTAACCCCAGCATGCTCGTAAAAATCGAGAAGTGGAACTAAAGTTTCAGCAACCTGCACAGATGCTCGTAAAAATGCTAAATTTCGTTCACATAGGTCAAGCTATGAAAACTATTATGTGTTGCCAAATTAACCACCTCATCAATCCATAAATCAATGCCTTCTTTCAGTTCAGCAACGCAATCACGCAACAATACACAAGCTGTGGCTTTCTCCTCCAGAGTCTCAGTTTTGATTTGAATCATCCGGTTTCTTATTAGTGTTCCACACAGCAAATTGATGCATCCGGTTTCTTATTAGTGTTCCACACAGAAAATTGATACATCAGCCCAAAAAAAAAATAAAAAAAATCCAAAAATAGCATGGTTTATACTTGATCCTGTACTTATTCCTTGGGTTCCAGTTTTGAAAAAATATTGAACTAATTTTGTTGTGATAGATAACGTTGTTTAGAGTTTGCAAGACATAGTCAATATTTCAGAGTGAAGTTGATTTAGAATGATTAATCACTTCATCCATCGCTCATATGTTAAAATCAGAATTGTATATATGAATAACATTCATGTTCTGCCATTTATTTTTCAGCTCATCAATTTGTTTCTCTAGTAATTTTTAAACTTTTCTAATAAGAAGACTCACCTTTCATCCGATTCTTCAACGTTAGCATCATCAGGCAAAGTAAGCCGCGCAGATCGAAGCAAACAAGGAATGGCTACTTCCATATAAGGCTGGAACTTCTGGCCTAAGCATTTGCAAAGTCTGCCCCATGCCTGCAGTATCTTACATGTTTCAGTGAAGAACAAGGTGCTAGTAAAGAACCATTTTTTTTTTTTAGCAGTGGAAGCTGTACAACTACTATTAACATACTCTTAACCCCCTTTTTTTTTTTTTTTTTTTTTGCTGTGGAAGCTGCACAACTACTATTAACATACTCTTAACCCTTCAATTCTCATTGGGTCATGTATCTCCAGATTTGATATGGTTGTGGAAACAAGAAGTTGCACAACCTTGCATGAGAGAGAGAAAAAAAAAGGGTCAATAATGCTACTGTATGAATGTGTTCTAACAAAAACATTATCCTGAAAAATACTTAGGTCCAATATGTCTTGCAAACTCTAAAACATCTCTGATTTGGGTGGCTTCAAGAGACTTCTGAAACCATCCATGAATCCAAATTCAGTACAGTATGTAAAAACTATAAACAGATTACTGTTTTCAGATAAACAAAACAGTTTTCTTTGTCTAAATTCATGTTATAACTTATTTATGCAGGCAGATTACATCTTTTCTGGTACACCAGGCAGGATTTACTAGCAAATAACTAGCAACTCGAGAATCTTTTATATCAAAACTCCTTACTACCCTATTCGAAAGCCGCATCTTACATTTCCAGTACTGAATATTACCTGTTGAGTATCATCACCGACCTTGTCCTTTCCGAAAACCGTCCAAATTGCTGTAATGCACGAAAGAGTTGCAGAAAGGAGCTTGCTGTTAGATTCCCCTTCTGCTTTCGTCATCACAACTTTTAGGTAAGGCATAACTGTTCTGTAATACTCTAGAAACCGGTCCTGCAAAAGTACAATAATTAATATAAAAAACCAGAAAATTTAAAATAGGCCACAAGCAACTCTTGACTCTTGACTGGTACCTGTGATGACTTAGCAATTGCAGCTAATGCTGATAAGGCCCACAGTTTCAATAGTTGTTTTCCTTTCTGGATTGTGCATATGCAAAATCAACATAAAGACTGCAAATCAGAGACAAGATATAGTTGCATATGGACTCGGGCTTCTTTTTATACAATTATGCATGTGCATGTGAGTTTTTATATGTATCAAGGAAAGCTCGAAAAAAAAGAAAAAAGAAAAATGCTAGATCCTCCACGGGAAGCATTCACAGAGGTATTTCACATTCCATGAATGAATGCACACACGATTAGAAAGATAACATGCTACCTCACCTGTAGGCATCTGAGCAATTTACTGATAATCTCATCAAGGTGAGGTTCTAACATATTTGAAGTGCAATACTCAACAAAGTGATAAGTTGCCATAGCAGCTTGCACCTGAAAAGATAGAACATTGCAGTGCACTTAGACGTGTACGAGTTAATGCACAGATGCATAAACCAGATAACCAGATATTTGAAGGCAGTGAACCCATTTTGACAACTGAGTTCAACTAAAGCTTAAATCCAACTTAGAGGATTTGATACAAAAATATTTGGTAGACAACAAGATTGTGTAAACAAAAGAAGGCAGATAATTAAAAATTCATTCCAAATGAACAAAAATCAACACTACAAAGGCTGCGATGTCTGCCATGATTTCATTTCTAACAACACCTTTGCAAGCTCATTCTGAACATGCTTTTGATATGTCAATTCTGACTTCGAGTTTCATTTCATGATTGAGGCATCTTAACAACCCTAGATTGCTTTCCGCAAGGATAAAAAAGACTATTAAAAGACCTAGAAATCATGGTTAGGTTCAATTTCAATCCCACAAAGAGAAAGTTATTGCACAGCGTCTGTCAGCAAGATGGTGATAGACTTCTAACAGTGCCAGGGCTAGTCAATTTTCATTCAGCTCCTCATTGCATGACCCTCTTATTGATGTCTGGGTAGCCAAAAATTCCGTATATAGTAGTTGACTGAGCAATTTTAATCCTGTCAAAAGTTTCTATATGATCTATGCCAGTCAATATCCTTGCCTATAAATGATAGAATAATCAGAAGCTCTATCTAAATTAAAGCAGGAGAAAGAGGCGCGAGGACCTTCTTCAATTCCATGTGCTCCAAGTGCACCACCATATTTCGAAAATCTATCCTCATTAGTGTTTTGATGGGAGGAAAAAAAATAAAAAAAGGTTTGACACTTTACAACAAGCACAAAGGTTCGTTTTTATAGAAAAATCTAATTTTCTTGTCATTGACTTCACTAACATCAATTATTTTTTTGATAGATAGGCCCGTCAATACGTCAGTTTTGCAGTCTGAGAATACCTTGACTCTTACTACTTGAAGTATAAGTAAGAGGTGATGCGCAAAAGAAACTAAGAACAAGGCAGGACTATATATTGGGGGGTGGTGGGTGATTCAAAACAGCTCAAAAAGAAAACAACGTACCTGAATTTTGGAATTACTGAAATCATCCATAGCTTTCGTTAAAGCAGGCAGCACTTTTTGATTATAGTGATTCTGCAATTCAGGGTGTAAATACTTGGAGAATTCCTCGACTGCATACATAGCTCTCCAACGCACATGATGATGTCTGTCGTCAACCATTTTCATAATTGGATTGGCCACAAGATCTACCTTGGACTTTAATGCCTGTAACACAAACCAAAAAAAGTGATTACTTGACGTCTTTTTTCACTGAACGAAAACACTAAGAAGGAGAGGAGGAAATCATTTTGAGGAAAATAAATGGAGAACTGAAGAACAGAAGTTTGAACCAATAGATAGAAACATCATATTTAAGGACTTGAAAGAAGGTTAGAGGCTTCAGAGCTGTGATTCAAGTTCGTTTTATCTCTTTAAATGAAGACGTCCAAAAGGGAAAAACTTACATATATGTTTTAACAGAAGGTCACGCTTCCATACCTTTGAGCAATTCTTTGAAATAATGGAGAGTGAACTAACAGCAGCATGGCGTCTTTGCCATGCCTCAGAATTAAAGCATGATGCAAATGGTTGAGGAAAGCCCTCCAAAAGAAATCTCCCACCCAATGCTTTTGAAAATCGAGCCATGCTCTTCATTCCCTGGTCAAGTAATCTCCATTGCTCTTGATCCCTCTCATCACGATTATCCAATGCCGTGTTCTCGTTGATAGTCGCAATCATACATAACAATTGAGAAAGCATCCTCTTGATATGCCAACCCCCTGTATTTACCAAAATCTGGCTACCTTTTTTATCTTCAACTAGAACTAGCACAAATTCTATCGCAAGAAACCTTGTTCTTTCTTCACATTGAGGATTCTCCATGATAATAAATGTAAATTTAAGTACCTTATCAACCTGGTTTCTCAAGAACCACGCGTCCGTCCGCGCCAATGCAACCAGTTGATCAAGAATCAAACGCGCATATCCCTCTTGACTCATATCAAACTTTATTTCACCCTTAAAGAAAACAGTATTCATTACTTTCCGCAAAAGATCTTGCAAGAATTCATCATTTACGGCATTCTTAAGGCGCAAGATACAACCAAAAGAGGCCTCAACAGCTGCTTCTTTCATCTTCAATGACACATCACTAGAACTTAATATTTTCTTAAGTTTGTCACACAATGTTTGAAGACTTAGTTCTAATATCTTTTCAGCACCATTAGTAAACAACTTGTTAATCACTGAAAACACGAATTGTAGCACTTCTTCTTTATCAGAATCCAAATTATCACACACTGCAGTTGTGAACCCGGGCCAATCATTTTCTGGTATATAATGGGGATTGAAATGTGTTAAAAGTTCGTTTATAAGTGGAAAATTTTCTACTGCATAGTCATCCCTTTTGAGATCAAGAAGTAAAGGTTTAATGAATTCTCCCCAGAAGACATCAGAGAAGAGGATTTTGAAAATCTCGAGAGCAACAGCAGATGTCACCTTAGTTATGGTATCCCTGGAGGAGAAAACGATTTTGGAGAGGCGGTGACAGAGGGGGATAGGGTGGAACTGTATTAAGTAGTTCAAAATCATACGAGAACGGTAGGTGAGAACGGGGAGGTCAAGTTCGTTGAGAACAGCGATGAGGAAAGAAGGGTCTTCACTGTTTAGAGCATGTTGGGCTGCTGCTTCAAGGATTTCTGTTGAACTTGGTGATAATGGTGGTGTTAACGGTCGGGATTCTTCTGGAGTTGATGGTGGTTCCGGTGAAGTTGAGGCCATTTGGTAGTGGTGGTGATGAATCTTGCAGAAATTGAAGTTTCTTGACGCTGATAGGACGTGTGAATCTTGAGAGATGATAGGTTTTCTTGGTGGTTTTAGTTTCTCCTTCAGTTGGTGCAAATTGATTAAAAAATAATAAAAATATCCCTGTAATTCTGAAGGTCCTCTCCAAATGGGTGGCTCCTTATTAAATTAAATGAGGACTAGAATAATAACAAGTTACCTGCCTGCTCTTCGTCAAACGTTGGATCGAATTCTGTTTAACGCTAAAAAAGAAGAAAAAGTGCAACTATTTACAACCACTTTTCTACTAGCAATAAAAATTTCAAAATTAAAATATTTATTTAATAAGATTTACTAAGGTTTCTATATGCCAATAAATATCAATATTATTATAATATTATTTTTAAAGCAATTAGAGCATTTAAAAAATAAACATAGATCAAAACACTTGAGCCATCGAAGTTTATATATATATGATAAATTTTATATACAAGAAGAAGAACAATTTAAATTTAATTGAAACCATATAATTTGCTTGTATAACCCCTACTTCTCTTATATTAATATAAATTATCTCAACAAAAAAATATTATTTTTGTTTTTCTATATTATTTTTTTTTTCAAAAAATCATCACTAATATTAAAAAAAAATTCTTAGATGTTTTAAAATAAAAATAAAAAAGCATATAATCAATATTTTTTATCTTATTAAAATGTTAGGGTCAGCTTAGAGATCCCTTGATCCAACTCTTTGCTTGTTATGAATTTTTGATCCAATTCTTTGCTTGTTATGAATTTCTGATTAAATCATTTAAGAATTAAAATGATATAACCGGATTGATATGATTGGTCTAACTACTATTTAATTAATTTAATCAAAACTAGTTTTAACTTAAAAAATTATAGACACTATCTTTTTAATTTTTTTAATAACTATTAATATAACAACGCTCTAAATAAACTCGAGTTTTAAGGTGTGATTTAGATGACCTGATTGGTTGAGCCAAAAATTAATTTTCTTTTAAGATAAAATTTAAATGAACTTGATTCATCTCTTTTTTTTTTAAAAAAATTACTTTAAATATCTTATAGTTTACTCCATTTTACAATATATCTTTATAGTTGTGAAAATTATAAAAAACATTCTGAATTTTATAAATTCACCATACTTTACATAGCATAAAAAATAATCAACAAAAGATATCCAAGTAATTAGAGGTCTACCATTATTTTTTATTTAATTACTAAAAAACCCATAATGCATCAAAATCATCAAGCACCTACAATCCAAACACGCCGAAGCATCAACTTTGATTTTCTTATATGTATAAATTAAATTGAAAGAGATTATACTTGATCATTAAGACAAGTTGCAACTCGCGATACACTAAGCACGATCAGTTGAATTCATATCTGGTTCAATATTAAATTGTTCAATTTCCATTCTATTAATCGCAGAGAAGCGAAATCTGAGTCTATATGGGCTTTTTGTGCTGTTGTTGCAAGTCTAAATTACAGTATCAGTATTTAACTATGAAATCAGTATTAGTAATTATTGATCAAAATCTCAATGAACAAATTGTTAGACAAAATTAGGTCTTTGAATTCTTTGAGGTGTGAGGATTATACAGAAGGTGTTAAACAAGCTAAGAAGAAAAGAAAGCCATTTGCGTCTATAAAGAATTTGGGCATTTAACCTGCAGAGGGATTGATTTTTCTTGTCAATGGAGAGCAAGAGAAGAAGTCATGGAGAGAAAAGAAAATGGGATTGTTTGTCATTTAGGTTGTTTATATATATGAGGTTGTTTGTGATGTTATGTACAAGGGTATATTTATCTTTTCTTTTAAATTTAAAATTGCATTGATCTAGGATGTTTTTGTAATTTTTAAAATTATAAAGGTAAAGTGTAAAATTAAGTCAACTATATGATGTTTATAGTATTTGTTTTTTAAAGAAATACCAAATGATATTTTAAATAGATTCGTAATGAATCTGTCCAAACCTTGGTCATAGCTCTTATTAGTTTTAATAATAAAATTTATTTTTTTTGTTTAGTTGAACAAATAACAATGTAAAAAATAAGATTAATGATATTAATCAAAATTTAAATTAAAAATATAATATAAAATAAAAATACAAAAAAAAAATTTAAATAATTTTTTTTAAAAAAAAACAAGACACTTCCAAGCCTAGCGTGCTAGGCTAAGTGTGCCTCACAGTAATCCCAAGTCCGCATGTCTTGGTTAAATTTTTTTTTCCGTGTAAGGGGCAAATGACATAAATGACATATTGTTAATCAATTTTCTTAAAAAGACAACCAATATGTTTTTTTGAGCAACAAACAATGCTTTGATCAATTCAAAACATTATTTTTTATTTAATTTTTATTTTAAAACATTTTAAAAACACTATAAAAACTCTAGAAACTCATTTATGATCTTAAATTTAAAAAAAATATAGTTTTAAAAAGTAAAATTAACTTGATATAAAAAAACTCCTGAAGATTCAATCTATTTTTCAAGATGGAAACTAAGAAACATCTTAATGAAATATCTCTTGCCAAAAAAATTTGTTGAGCTTTTCATAGCTAAAATCTTATTCAACAAATAACATTCTTTCTTTTTTGTCATTTTTTGAAAACTCTCTCTCTCAAAAAAAAAAAAAAACAAAAAGGATCAAAATAGTAACAAAATAAAGTCTTGAATCAAAATATTTAATTTCCAAACTTAAAAAAAAAACAAAAAGGAACTTTAATAAAACTCCTGGTAAAATTTAGAAAATAAAAATGAAGGGACCATTATATATATATATATATATGTATAATAGGAGTGCTTTTTTATTCCTTTCATTTCAATTATGATCTCCTAATTTTTAATCTCATTCAAGTAATAAAAGTTAATAAATTAATGCAAAATCAAGAATTAAATCAATGACATTGTAATTTATCAAGACCATGATAATTTTATATGAAATTAAAAAATAATTTTTGCTAGGTAGCAATGTGTAATTCTAGGACTTGGATATCTAATTTCTGTTAGAATCATAGCTTGAATACCATATATAAAGAGGAAAAAAGTTTCCCCAATTGATGTTTTTTTAGCTATTTGATAAGCCCGTAAGATTTCATTTAACATTTCTACTAATTATGAATTGGTCTCATTAATTTTTTTTTACCTCACTAAATAGGATTTTATTTGTGAGTCTGGCTTGGCTATTTGTTTGAGGATGCAATATAAAAGAAAACCAATAGTCTATATCGAGTCTCTAACATTGTTATCTCATTTTATGATTGTTAATGCTTTATTATCTGTTAACAAGACTTTGAAATGTCCAAAATGATATAAAATATTCTTTTAAATGAAAGAGATTACTTTGGTGGTGGTTATGTCTGCCGAAGTCCATCCTCTACTCATTTTGAAGTGGCCAACCACTACTAAGATGAATTATTTTTTATCTGTAGCTTTGGGAAAAGATCCAATATATCCATTTTCCACTAGAAGAAAGGTCATGAGAAGGCTATAGCCATCATCTGTGTAAAGGGTTGCGGGATACCAAAGCATATTTTTTGGCACATATTGCATTGTTTAGCCAATTCAGTTGTGCCCTAGAGTATAGTTAACTAATAGAAACCTACTCAGGTAGCTTGGGCAAAAAAAGCTCTAGGACCTATATAGAAACCATATATCCTTTCATGAAGTTCTTTGAAAACACATGTTTTATTTTCTAGCGATAGGCATTTAAGGAGGGGAGCTAAGGTGGATCTTTTTTATAAGACATCATTAATTAAGCAATACTCAGCTTCTTGCCCGGTCAACCAAGTGACCTCAATTCTATCATAGGATATTTTTCTAGTAAGCAAATAACATCTAATATGGGTTCTCTAATCCTTGTCAAGAATGACTTGAGCAATCACTAGTACTTTTTCACTATAGTTAACTTCTCTAAAGTTTTAATCCATATGTTTGGAAGGAGCTCTACTGAGTTGAAGCTTGCAAGTTTGGATAAGAAAAATTTGGCTAGTGGTTGGCTTTCTTAGGTATGCAAATGATTATAATCTTTTTGCTTTTATCTTTTTTGGAGAGATAATTTCAAACTTTCTGGAGATACTTTAACATGGTGGACTCTTTAACATGGTGGACTCTTTAACCTTATATAATCTTTGACATTGGCCTATAACCAGCTGAGAGGCGCTATGAACATGGAGGGGATAAACATTTAAAACCTTTGCAAACCCTATTCTTGCCCAAAAAGCTTTATACTCTACTATATTGTTAGTAGCTAAGAATTCAAAATGAACCCCGTAGGTATATTCCTGTCCCTTTAAACTCCTACGCATTATCCTCGCTCAACTACTCTTCACATTGGAGGACATATCTATAAATAATTGCCATGTGGAGGTTAACAAGGTTTATTTTGAGGAAACTATTGGCTGAGGAATGATGCTTCAAAACTTGATAGAGATTGAGATTCATGAAGTATGGATTTCTTAAAAGAACACTCAACAATGAAGTATGTTAGACCTTGTCTCTTTATAATTAGTATGGGCTAGTATTGGAGACCAAACTCTCCTAACTCAATTGCCAACTTCACTAAGTGTCCTAACATGTCAAGTTTGTGATGAATTTGTTTGAGGGAATGATCTATCAAGATAATGATCTAGTGAGCTTGAATGTAAGGCCTCAACTTTCCAGATACAATAACTATAGCCAAGGGCTATCTTATCTACTTTCAAGTATCTTGTTTTAACATCTTGAAGGGTTTTACTAGAGTAATACATCGGGAGTTGAATTTCATTCTCCTTTCATACTAGCATTGCATTGACTATGTCTATTAAGCCTAAATAGAGAAAAAAGATTCTCATACTTCTTGACTGACATAAAACCTTGGGAGATCAGAGGTAAGCTTTGAGCCCTTCAAAGACTTCTTAATACTCGAATGTTGATTTAAAGTTAGATGTATTTCTCAAGGTTTTTAAGAATAAAAGGCTACACTCTCC